ATTTCTTCCTTTTTAAATTACACTAGCAAAGAAAACGCTGCCCGACGGGTTATTTTTCCGCTTGGCTAATCTATGTCTGTGTTCCATATAAATAAGAAATAATTCTTTCTTTTTTTCTTTATCTCTACACACTCTCTCTTTCATGGTGTATTGTCTTTATTTTCATGTGCAAATATTTCGAATTGACGTTGCATTTATTATTCTATCAAGTGTATTTTTAGCATAGTAGGAAATAGGTTTAAAATTATCACGAATAACCTAGAGGAAGGAAGTTTCAAATTAACGAAAATATCACGACGCCAACCATAATATTTACATCGAAATCTCCTTAATATTTTACTAGGCCAACTGAGTCTATTTAGCTAGGTTTATTATAAACATGGAATATATTGTAAAAAATCTCTGTTGGAAACTTCTCTGATTTATTATTGCAATAAGAGTAGATATGTTTGTCTATCGCCGTGTTCGAAATCCTTCCCTGTCTGAATAGGAATATAGATTTATCGTTTATTTCCTGTTTAGAATTGGGTTTTCGGTTCCTACAAAATCTTCACATTCTCTTTCAGTCCTAGTAATCTCTTGCCTCTTAGTGGCATTAACACCTTGCTTGGGTTGAAATGATTAAAATAATATAACAAAGAAACGTAAATTGTCAATATCTGTAATAAGAGTTTAGGTGTGACCTGTTGTCACTTGCTCTGCAGTTGGTGCAATGGCTAGCGGCTCGGAATTATAAAGTCAGAGAGTCAGGTTCGAATTTCAGTCGAGTTTGGTACATTCACTTACGCGTAAATACCCTTGGGAAAGTTGTGAATTCAAGCCTGAATTAAAACAAGCCTGGAGAGAATTGGGTTCCGACAGGCTATCTTTCCCAAAACACATCAATACTGCTGCTGTTTGCAATACATGTGGTACCCCTCCGAAACTGATGGGTTACGAGACTCAAGTTCACACAAATCTACTAACATAAAATGTTAATAAACATGTAAGGCAACGTAAGAATGTAAAATCTGGTACGAAAAGATAGGCAATGTCCTACCCTGGGAACTCTGTAAGCGAAAATAAAAGGAATAAGGTGCTCAGTAATTTTGTTATCAAGATAAAAGATGAGACCAAATTTCACAGTCCTCAAGAATGCATGGACATGCAAGAAAGTATATGTAGCTGTTGGATTGATTTGGTTTGGTTTGTTTAACGGCATATCAACTCCTTATGGGTTATTTAATGGCTAAATTTTATTTTCATGTGAGCTTGGGTAATTCCCCCTTCCCGCCAAAAAATGAATTGTTGGTAATTGTTTTCTTACTATAAAAAATGTATTGTTAGTCATTTTATATAATGTATTTTTTTATATATATTTTCACGTTTTGACACCAGATGGTGATTCATTATTGGCCCATAGCTGGGACCGTAACAAAAGTATCAACCTGGGTCAGGGTTGAGCTGGGAAAAACAACAATTAAGAGATGGGTCCACGCTCCTCGACACCACCCCCGATCAGAAGAAGCCTTGCTACCGAATATAATTTCTAATCATTACCAGGAAGGGGTGGCTGTTGGCAACGAACAATAAAATAAAGACGAATTAAAGTGAAACATTAGGAAAATACCAGAACCTTGCCCGGGAGTTAAAAAATGTATGAAACAGTAAGTTTATATCGTTCTCATAAGCGTTAGTTTATTCAGAACACTGCATAAAAGTTTAGAGACAAGATTAGTTAAATTATAAATTTGTGTAAGACACGAGACGGCGTTACTGAGGTCTTCCAAAATATTGCGCTGGAAATATGAAACGACTTTCTTTTCTTTAATCACTAACAATGGCAACTGGAGGACTGGTGTCGTTCTTATAAGCGTTGGCATACTTAGAACACTGCATAAATGTCTCGAGACAAGATTAGTTAAACTATAAATTTGTGTAAGACACGAGACGGCGTTACTGGGGTCTTCCAAAATACTGTGCTGGAAATATGAAACGACTTTCTTTTCTTTAATCACTAACAATGACAACTGGAGGACTGGTGTCGGCATGCATAGACAGAAATAATAACAATTAATGTAAATTGGTAAAATAGTATTTGAAAATATATAAAAGAATGAAGTGAAAATCAAAAGGTCCCTTAAAACATGTAAGAAAAACAAATGCATAAACAGTGAGGATTGCAACAACGAAATAAACTAAAATAATGAAAATATTTACGGAAAATTTTAGATACAAAGAGAAACTATAGCAGACGAAAATTCTTTCATATGACTACGACGAGGGTACATGAAAAAGCTCTACATTATTTTCTTATGGACAACGCATAGCGTTAGCACCCAACACCGAGAGGAGCATCCCATGTATTCAATGGAGATACGGCTGGGGTTAAACTTTAACAGGTTATAATATATATATATATATATATATATATATATATATATATATAACACAATTAGAAATGCCTTGAAAGTGTTTAAAAGTGTTCAAAAACATGTTAATTCGAAATTGATCTTGTAGAAACCAATACCATGATTCTGATTGGAATGGATTACTGATTGCCTGGTTAGTGATGACCAGCCTCTATAATATTCCAACTGGTTTAATAAGTGATTAGTATCCATTGCTGAATTATTTGTAATGAAAAGGAATCATATCTTGTTGAAAATGAAGTATTTTTATGCTAGATAATTTCCGAGATAGTTAATGACGAGGATAAAACATGGTTTAAATTAATCAAATATCAGCCTAAAATACCTAAATATTATGGTCTACCAAAAGACAACACAGACATTTTTTATGCAAAATCTTCTTTGTAGATTTATTGTGGTCTTCGTTTGTAATGCATTTGTCCTTCACATATTAAAAAAACTATGTTCATTTGAAATATTAGGATATTAAATCCTTGAACATAACACTCAACAAATATTTCAGCCTTCTAAAAAGACCATTGATAAAATCAATATCTAATAATCTCCGACTGACAGAAATAATTTCATAACTTTCCACACTCAATATGATTTCAGTTTCTTAATTAGTTGTATAGTTGTATAGACAGAAATTTGGACTAACAATGAGATCTCCTCTTAATTGTGTATTGGCATGATTTTCTTAGTATTATTAAAGTTATTTTTTTTTAAATAAATTTTGCGTAAAAAATCATCATATTACCGATATATCACTGATTCTTTATTGATGTATCCTAGCAAAAAAGTATTGGCTGACTTGTAAAAAAAACACAAAAATATAGAAAATATATGTGAATATATGTTTCGAACGGGAAAACGAAGGCTTCATTCTTTCTAGATATCAAGTAAATTTGTATTTGTAATGTGTTAAAATTAATCATCAGCCACAAATCCACTAACAAAATATACATTTCTATTTTCACCATAACAACAAAATATAATGAATTATAATTGTAGGTTAATTATAATTTCTACTTAAGACCAATTAGAATTTATAGCACTCAATATCTACATGAAAAATACACTTAAAATGCATTTAAACTCCTTTTGTATCCTTATTATTTAATAATACTACCTACAAATATATGTATATATGTGTATGTGTGTGTTGATTTTAGTTATAGACTAGTCGCACGTCGGTAAACAGCGAGATCAAACATTTGAATATGAAATATATATATATATATATATATATATATATATATATATATATATATATGTGTGTGTGTGTGTGTGTGTGTGTGTGTAGGTGTATATGCGTGTGAGTTTAGTGATTATACACACATACATACACACACACACACACACATATATATATATATATATATATATATATATATATGATTAGCGATATTTATACATATAATTAGTGGTCATATATATATATGATTAGTTATATATGATTAGTTATATATATATATATATATATATATATATATATATATATATATATATAGAGAGAGAGAGAGAGAGAGATAGATAGATCATCGGATATGATATATGGTCATTTAATTTATTGCCCTTCTTAAACTAAAAAATTCCAACGCTTTTTCTTCCACACCATTGTGTCTTTCATTTCGACCTGAAGACGCTCAACATACAAAGGCTTTCCTATTTTGTCCCATTATATACATATATATTATACACATATTTTACATACATTATATGCATATCGTTCTCGCTACTTAATTATGTTTTTCTTCTTATATTAATTCACACGTACTAAACCCCTGCGTCTCACTTGCTTTATTGACTTGATCGGGTATGAAATGATTGAATATATATATATATATATATATATATATATATATATATATATATTCTTCAGCCAGCCGTGTCTCTTCAGGACGTGGTTTGACATGTCTTTCCACATCTCTCCCACTCCCATGTTCCGTCATCCATTCACATAGGGCTGTCATGGAGGCGATCCGTTCTGTCCCTTTTGCATTCGATATGCCCTGTGATTGTCAAATTCTCCAAGCATTCCTTCCTCGTTATGTCACTAAGTAATTTAGCCGTCACTATGCGTTTTAGAAATTTAAGGTTAATCTTATTTAAAATGATTATATTAAATATCCAAACAGAATATATAAATTAGAATTTGGGAAAATCAATTGAATATTTCATTTCTTTTTTATTTTGTTATAAATGATTTGTTTTGTACGGACACTGTGAAAATAATGGGAAAATCTATGGAAAATCGTTACCTTGGCAACTCTGCTGTTTAGACATGCTGGAGATAATTTGAAGATTGTTTTAACATTTAGTAAAATTTAAAAAGAAATGAATATGTCAAAATAAAATGAAAATATTGATTGTTTCGTTTTTTTACGGCTTATCAACCCATTGCAGGTTATTTAAAGCCGGAAAACATTTTTACATTGTAATAATATTTTTGCTGCTAATAACTGTTTAGCGGTACAATCATACTAATTAAACTATAACCGGAGAGAAGAGATGTCAATTCATTCCTTTCCCAGAACGGTCATTTCAACTAGGATTTCCGCTTAAAAATTCCGAACCAATTTCCATTGCACCACACACACGTCTAAGCTTGGTATTCCCAAGCGGTCACCCATTTAGGTACTAACCAGGCTCAACATTGCTTGACTTCGGTAATTGTACGTGAACCAGTGTTTCAATGAGATATAGACGCAATTCTAAAATGCAAATATAGTCATTAGACTAAAAGGAAATATTATGCTGAGAAAAATAAAGCATAAAACATTATGAATAATTTTAATTCAATATACAATTCATGTTACTATTATTTAGGTTTCACAGGATATATGAAATCTAATTAAAACTTACAATTGAAAATTATTTAATTTGTTAACCAACCAGTTTCTATTTTATTATCTCTTTCATTGAGGAATCATTTAAGCTAGAAAATGTGATATTTTATAAAACCCTACTTCATGATTAATTGAATGAAATCGAAATGTCTTAGCGGTTTCAATAATTATTCTAGATAACGAATAAATGAAACCATCTGGGCTTTTTTAAAATCGGAATGATAGTTTGTATAATGTATATGTGAGAATAAATAATGGACTATATACCCGATTTTATAGCACTTTTAGTTTCATAGATACGTTCCCTTTTTTCCTTCGTTGTATTTCGACAACATAAATGTTATTACATATACTATATGGATATCTATTCATACCAGAATACGTGATATTGTCTAATTTTACTAATTCACCCCAAGCAAGTTGATAATGCCACTAAAATGCAATGAGTTACTCTGGGTGAAAGGGAATGAGAAGACTCAGTAGAAATGACAATAAAACACACACACACACACAGACACACACACACACACACACACATATATATATATATATATATATATATATATATATATATATATATATATATATAATTAAGTAATTCATCGAGTCTGAAAGAAACCTCAACAGAATGCAGAAATAACTGGAATTATAATTATCAAATCCTCCTAATAATCTCTATCATTTGTATATCATTGCTCCAACCGGCTTCTAATGCTCAAGTTTGAGCGGATTGGTGATAGTAGTTGTGGCTCCTGGGGACACAGTCCTATGGTTAGAGAGAATCTCAGTTGAGTTCCACCATGGAATATGTGAGCGAGCGTCGCTATATTGAGTCTGACTTGCAATCTCTTCGTCACCGAGGCCCATTAGAAGAGTTGGTATGATGTTTGCTTGACAACCTGTCAGGGTTTCAATTCTCGGTAGTGGATGCGCACTGCTGATGAGTCCCAAATATGGGACGAAACCGCCGTCCAGTGCTTTGTGCATTCTGTTGAGGTTTCTTTCAGACTCGATGAATTACTTAATTATAATTATCAAATCCTCCTATAATCTCTATCTATCTATCTATCTATCTATCTATCTATCTATCTATCTATCTCTCTCTCTCTCTCTCTCTCTCTCTCTCTCTATATATATATATATATATATATATATATATATATATATATATATATTAGAACGTTCAAAACATTAATTTAAAATAGGATTAATACAAGAGCAGAGCTATAAGTGTTTATTATACTCTGTTACATTAAAACGTGTAATTTACGACTACACAATTCTACATTCTATTTCGACGTTTAATAAAACAACATTGAAACAAAATGTACAATTTTGTAGTAGTAATTTGTATGTTTTAATGTAACAGTGTATAATATATATATATATATATATATATATATATATATATATATATATATATATATATATATATATATATATATATATATATATATATACATCAATATACATTAAAACTATATTTTATATATATATATATATATATATATATATATATATATATATATATATATATATATATGTGTGTGTGTGTGTATTCTATCAAAAAGAAGACTGGAAAGGTCTTGCGATTAAGCTTTTTATTCAATTTTCTTGTGTTCGTATAAATGATTTCGTTACTCATTGCTAGTGAAACGCATTTCGTCAAATGCGTATAAACAGTACGAATTTTCTTCATTTCTGAGCGATTTCGGCTATTCTGTTAACCATTATCAAGGATGTTTTTTGTTATTTTATTTTTAACTGCAGTGTTATATTTTTATATATGTTTCTAGAATGATGGGAATGTTTTGTATTTTTTATTATTATTTTACAAACCCTGTTACTACAGCGGCCGCATTCATAGTTGATACTTTTGAGTGTTGGGTTTTTTCGTTTTCATTTTTAGTGCTTCCATAATAAAAAGAAAACGTGATATTGAACAATCGGACAGTTCTTACAGACTTTATTTCCAGAAAAGTAAATATTCATACTTAAAACAAGAAAAATTGATTAAAATCTTAATTTCAATACCTTGTTAGTCGTCTTTAATGAAACTTGTATCAAAGAAGAACTGCTGCCCAAATACACTAATATATATATATATATATATATATATATATATATATATATATATATATATACGTTCTTGCGTGTAAGAGAGGTAGTGAGAGTAACATTGAGAATGTGTGTGTTTGTGTAGAGTCAGAGATTATTTAGTATTTTTGAGTGTAAATTGTATGTACACTAACGGTGTAGATGTCAACTGCTAATTCCGTATTTTTCAAACTTTTGAGCTGACACGCCCGCCTCCTGGAAATCTTTCAATGAACTATTTCAAAATTCTAATTGAACTTGCCACGAACTCCCATAATTAGATTCTCAACTCAAGATGATTTCTGGCATGCAACACGGCTGCCCCTAAACGCCAACGCTATTCACCCTATCCATTTCGAAGCCTGGCCCCAGCAAACGTCACACGCATTTCCACTGGGGCATCTGAAATGCGCAAAGTTTAATTGATCGAAGCTAAGTGATTGCCAACTAAAACATATTAAACCATCTTCACGTTGTCAATAAACACAGTCGGTGTCATATTTCCTGAGTTTGAAGATAAAACAACAACTTGTTTACTTAAATCTGTTAAAAAACGTATTATTAATGAATTTGTATTAGTTAAAATATTTTATTAATTTTTAACTCAGTCAATTATGTGCTATGCGTGATACACGCTTAGGCGATCATGTATCTTTCGATACATAACTGACTAGACATTTCTTTCTGTGGCAGACCAGTTGCCATTCATGATTAGAGAATCCAGTCTGTTCTGCTATTTACCCATAGGAGGAAGAAGAAGAGGATTCATACCTTTTCCAAGGGTATTAGCACGAAAGTGAATGTAATGAATTCGACTGGAATTCGAACTCGGTCCTCTGATTCCTCAATTCGAGCCGCTATCCATTACTCCTAAATTTTTAACTACTATGTTTTAAATGATTTTTCAGGTTGTCAAGAGACACGCTCGATGTCAGATTTCTTGAGTTTGAAGTTAAAACAAAGAAATTGTTTGCTTAATTTTGACTACTATATGTTTCGTACTATTTTGTTTACTTTTTTTTAACGTAATTCTAAGATCGATTTTCTACTGTCGTAAATGAAAATAATAACATACAAAAAATATATTGTTAAAAAAGCAACAGAAATAAAACGAAAGAAATACAAATGTAAATGTATTAATAATGAAATCATTAAATATCTTGAGAAAAACATTGTCAGTTTAAAGATTGTTCTTTTCGTTACTAATACAGTGTTTCTTTTGATAATTAATCAAGAAGGGGTTATTAGCAATCAAGGAATGAAATATTTGCTTCTCCGTTTGATTCAACAAATTGAAAGAATATCTTCGCATGGGAAATATGAGCAGAAAACAAAATAATCCTTAATAAATAGATATCATTATGTGAGAGGAACGATTTTATTTAGTCGCTAGGTGAAAATAAAAATTGATTCGAGGCTAAGAGTTACCTGCAGGAAAAGTGGAATCAACGAGTCGATTTCAAATCAACGTCATGTCTGTTTTTTTCCACTTTCACACAAATGCCCCTCGCAAACTATGTGAATGATTTACTGGCAACTACAATCTTCACGGTGAAATAATGGATAGCGGTTCGTATTGAGGAATACCCTTGGGAAAAGTTATGAATCATCTTCTTCTCCCCCACCCAGCTATGGGTAAATAGCAGAACAGACCGGCTTCTATAGCTAGTTCTAAGAGAAGGTCAACTCTGAATTCAAAACCTGATTCTCCAGGTTTTGTAGTTGACTAACAACCTACTTACTAAAAACTGGCTTGTTATGGAAAACGCAATATCTTGCGGCTCTATGTTCCTTTCTTGTCTTTCATTATAATATCAGATCTGTTGGTTTTATTTCTCAGTCAGTATGAATTAGCAGAGGCTATTTACATCGCCATTTGGGGTAACTGTATTTGGTTGCTGCTCATACCATTTCACAATAGTTTAGATTTTATGCTTCTTGCATATTTTTCAGTGCACATATGTCTATGTGTATATTCATTTTTTGCTAGTACCGGACATCCTCAGATAATATGGTCGAATGTTACATCATATTTTCCACAGGTCCTGCATTTCGGGTTAGTTTCATCCTTGATTATGTGACAGTAATAGGATCTGGTTGCGAGGCTTTGGTCCTCAGTTGAAATACGTAGGCGTTCTGTCTCAGCTTTCAAACCGGTGCTCCTCAGCCACTGACGTATTTAATGTTGGTCCACCGCTGCTTCTTTCGTTCTTTTTAGGGATTTGTCATGCAACGCCTCGTCCTTCAAGTTTTCCTTTTGTAATTTCATTTGGCCAAGTTGTTTTGCTTTGTATTTTATTCGTTTGACGTAGACGTTATTCGTTTTGTTTTTTGCTGGCACGGTTTCAAGTATATTAAGCTGTTTCCTGAAGAGGGCTGCTTTTAGTCGATGGAGTGGATTTGGTGTGTCACTATTTGTAGGAGAAGGTCATTTGTTTTTGTAAGGTAGTCTTCCAATCCGATTGTTGCAGTAGTTATTATTATTATTATTATTATTATTATTATTATTATTATTATTATTATTTCCTTGGATTTCTGTTAATACACATTTCCTTCCAGTCCCCAACTTAAGATCATACACATTTTACATAGATAAATCTCCTCGTAATATGTGAGCGTGCACTTGGGAGTACATTATGTATTTATTTAAGGCATGGGCTACCAGGAATCCATTTAATGAGTCTATCGGAACCTCTTCCAATTAAACCGAAAGTTCCAACTACAACTGCTATTATTGATGTCCATATTTTTGAGATTACCATATC